AAAAAAATTTGTAGTCACATCATTCCAGCCTTTTGTAGGTTCTTCTGTATGATCGTGTCAATCACACTGGATATGACAAGTTGTACCTGGGAAAGTAATGGCAATTTAGCAAATTGCATTTTCAAAGCGAGTGACTTACCTGATTTGTGTCTGTGGCGCATGTTTCGTGCATGTAGATCGTCTTTTTGTCGGGATTCAGGTTCAGTTCAGCAAATTTTAGCTTGATGAAAGCAACTGCTTCGTCATAATTTTGTCCTCCTGGAAAAGTGAAATTTAAGTCTTGAATGCTCTTAGCTTAACGCTTTTGATGTTCATAATAGACTGTCTGCACAGTTACTGGAGCTATAGAGATAGAGAAGTGTGATACATTGGCAAAAAATGTTGTTAAAAAACGAGTTTGCCCATTAAATCTTGACACCCCAAAAGATGACATTTTTGTGAGCGTGATTCCGGTAGAACTGAGAGTATTGAGGTTGATGAATTCACTAAAAGATTGTCAGTTAGGCGTGTCGAGGGCAATCAAGGTGATAGCGCGTTTTCTCACTTCCTGCCCCTCTTTCTCCTAGCATCAAAGCAGTACATCGAAAATGGAACATCACAAAAATGCTTCTTTTGAGACTATACCAGAGAACTGCTGTTGGCTCAAATCATTATCCAGATAGCCCAGGGGGAATGATATTTCAATGCAATGGGATAGCTGGATTCCAACTTAGCCAACTGTTTATACTGTGATAAATTTTGTAGCGAGAAAGTCGCTCTTAAATGGGCAGGGATGGACCGGCGACTACTTTGGACGCAAATTCGTGCCTTCCCAGCTCCCTGACAATTCTGTCATCATCGAGGCGCATGCATTATTGGTTCTTGTTGAATAAAATTTCTTGCTGCTCTTACACTTTTTTAGCATTATTTGTGAAATAGGACTGAAAACAGCTAGAGAATTTCATGAACATGGAGGGCGAGCATCAACCTGGGCAATGCTTTCATCTGCCATGTCGCAAAAAACAGGGTCTATATGAAAAAGTGTTAAACTGTTCTAGAGAATCA